ATAATATTTTAGTTATACTTGTTTGATGTTTTATTCATAATACATACAAGTTCCTACGAAAAAGTAACATGGTCTGTTCGAAGAGAACAGCAGTGTATCTCAGTTTGACATCCAACCACGATCAGAGAATATGTAACTGGCCGAGTCATGCTTTGAGTAAAAACAAACCAGAGGAATTCGTATGTCTTTGATGTCTGACGACGGAAATAAGATAGGGGATGAAGCAGGTGCGTAGAACCGCGTGCAACGTATTGTTGCTCTTTGAGACGAAGGGAGAAAGAGGATAGAATTCTTTCTTCAAAGGACGAGGACAATTTTAGTTAGGACGTCTCCTTCGCAGGCATGCGGGGAACGCGATTCGGCTGGGAATCTCGAAAAAAGGACTCTTGAACGGATCCACCTTTTTCCGAGGTAACCGCCGATTGAAAGCTCGTCGACTATGCAGCTTTTAAATTCGCCGAACGAGACTAGCCGGCGTGGTGAGGCCGTAGACAAAAGCTTACCGGTGCGCGTTTCAACCTCGAAATAGCTGAGACGGGATGTCGACGCTCGGCTATCCCACGTTCCACGGAGCAACGACACTTTTCCCTTCTTCCTCCGCTTCCTCGCGTCCTCAGCCTTTGTGCACTCGATTCTTGAGAAACGATTCTCACAAGGAATCTTCTCGCGTCAATTGAAATAAATTAATATCGACGTTCGATCAACGCCATTGATCATTAAATAAATATTATAAATAAACTGGAAGGTGGGTGGACCCGCCGATCCGTGTAATCGTTTCGCCCCCGACCCTCCATTCACAGGAACACCGAACCAGTCGACACGTTTTCGACGACTGCACCACGTTGCCCTCGCTCGAACTGAGCCACGAACCTCCCGTTTGTCCAGGAGCTTTTTTCTTCCTATTCGCTTTCCCCACCAGACGCTCAGGGAGTTTCCCCTACTATTTCCTTTTCACGGGGTAGATGAGCTATTGATGTAATTCTCCTGACTTCTCCTACGAAAAAGTAACATGGTCTGTTCGAAGAGAACAGCAGTGTATCTCAGTTTGACATCCAACCACGATCAGAGAATATGTAACTGGCCGAGTCATGCTTTGAGTAAAAACAAACCAGAGGAATTCGTATGTCTTTGATGTCTGACGACGGAAATAAGATAGGGGATGAAGCAGGTGCGTAGAACCGCGTGCAACGTATTGTTGCTCTTTGAGACGAAGGGAGAAAGAGGATAGAATTCTTTCTTCAAAGGACGAGGACAATTTTAGTTAGGACGTCTCCTTCGCAGGCATGCGGGGAACGCGATTCGGCTGGGAATCTCGAAAAAAGGACTCTTGAACGGATCCACCTTTTTCCGAGGTAACCGCCGATTGAAAGCTCGTCGACTATGCAGCTTTTAAATTCGCCGAACGAGACTAGCCGGCGTGGTGAGGCCGTAGACAAAAGCTTACCGGTGCGCGTTTCAACCTCGAAATAGCTGAGACGGGATGTCGACGCTCGGCTATCCCACGTTCCACGGAGCAACGACACTTTTCCCTTCTTCCTCCGCTTCCTCGCGTCCTCAGCCTTTGTGCACTCGATTCTTGAGAAACGATTCTCACAAGGAATCTTCTCGCGTCAATTGAAATAAATTAATATCGACGTTCGATCAACGCCATTGATCATTAAATAAATATTATAAATAAACTGGAAGGTGGGTGGACCCGCCGATCCGTGTAATCGTTTCGCCCCCGACCCTCCATTCACAGGAACACCGAACCAGTCGACACGTTTTCGACGACTGCACCACGTTGCCCTCGCTCGAACTGAGCCACGAACCTCCCGTTTGTCCAGGAGCTTTTTTCTTCCTATTCGCTTTCCCCACCAGACGCTCAGGGAGTTTCCCCTACTATTTCCTTTTCACGGGGTAGATGAGCTATTGATGTAATTCTCCTGACTTCGATCAATTTCCCAAGACTTTGCGATCTTCAGATATTTAAATATCGAAGTATGAATAAGTTCTTTTTTTATACGAATGTAATAAATATCCTTTCTGTTCATGTTACAATTCTTACTCACTGATTTAAGTTTGCATATGAAATGAAACAAAGATGAGGCAGTGAGTATAAATTGGGACGTGAATAGAAATTGGAACATTCACTTTAGTTCTTCTTTCTGTTTTGTAGTTCGTACAGCCATGTGCATATTTTTGTTTAAAAACAATTTAAAGCAAATTATAAAACAATTTGTTATAGAATATAATAAAGAGAATTCTGTTTAACTAAACTTTAACTGGGAAGCTGTTAGAACTGAACGAGATCTGCTTGTATATTGCTGACCACTAAGGGCTGAATCCACTTAAACCACTCTGCCAGTGGTACAGCCAACGAGTGATATGAAAACGATATAGAAATTGTTTGTCGCAGTCATAGTTCTATTCTGGGCAATAAATACCTTCAGCTATTTCTTGCGGCTTCTATACGTCCGCGTCCTGGTGGGTCGTATATCCGCCGGAACTAGCGGCGCATTTTTTCCCAATTTAGTCCGCGTTCCTCTTCCTCCACCGGGATCTTAACTATACGAACTCATCCGAAATCAGTGAAGGAATCCAAACATAATTTCAATAATTTAATTTCACTTTCATTTAACCATCTTTGGTGTTTAAGGTAAGACGATGATGAACGCGAAATGATATCAATTATTTATTCATGTTTGAACATGGCTTAGAAAATTTCGACGTCACACCCCCGAGCTACGACGGGGCTATTCTAATTCTAACTTAGCCGAATGCCATGTTCCCTTCCCTTAGGAGACGCTAGCCGATGTGCATGTCGATGAAATTTTGCTTGCTCTTGTACACCGGCCCCCAGGAGCCGTACTTCTCGTTCTTGTTCGCTGGTTGATAGGACTGCTGTTGTCGTTCTGCCTGTCCATTCTTGTCCTTCCTGTGCACCAACAATTCAAGAAGTAACACTGTGCAACACAAAATTTTCTTTCCACGGGATTTCACATAAATACAAAAATAGTATGTATTAAAATACTCGCTCTTTTTCAAACTTCAATAATTATTTACATGTTATTCAAAAAATAAGACAACAAAGAGATATTTATATGAATATGATTTAGAACTGAACTTTCTCGCATTTTCATGTAATACGTAATTTTCCTTAAAATCATGTAAAATCATTTTCGAAAACGATACGTATAGAGCAATTTATGAATTTCCAGATTTATTTTTGTTATGAGAATCGCGTAGTACGTATTGCAAAAAAAACGGTTTTTTTATGGGATTGTATAATTTGGGAAGATAAGAATCAATAAAAAAATTAATGTTAACTGTACCTAACACCCGCGTAGTATCCCTTGATGTCGGCGTTTGCGTGCACCATTCTGATTTTCCTTTGCTTCGAGTCGAAAATGAATTCGCTTATGTGTATTGGCTAATTTTCCAAATGTAGCTATGCGAATGTGGTCTCTGACACTATCAGACACTATTCTTGCTATCAATATAGGGTTTTCGTCTGTCTTTTCAAAAATATTAAAACACTTCGTAGTTTCACGAGATTTCTTGTTACGTTGGATACGCGTTCAGATACTTACTCTACGGTACGTGGTGCAAGTGTACTAGAACTAATAATTCTAAACGATTTCCAGCGTTACCGCGTCGGCTCCCCTTGCGAGTACCGAGGTTCTTTGCAAGCCTGCAAAGAAGAGAAAATATCAGACATAATTTAATTACTTCCGTTTAAATCTCGAGGCTACGAAATTCTATACGCTTGACATTTTATTAAAATGTTATCAAAATATGTTTATTGTACTTAGTGGAAACCCTTATGTTAGAATAGGCGAAGTAGAAAACCAGTTCTTTACCTAACACTGGGTAAGAATGTCGGGGAGTTGCCTTGACAATCCAAGATGCACCTCATCGACACATAGATGGTTCCGCTTTTCACGAAACACTGCCCGATTTCTGTTTAATTAACTCGAATCCTCTTCGAGTTTTCAAACAATTCAGATCAATGCGAAATCGTTCGTTCTATTTAAATAAATGATTAAGGGAGAAGTAATGTTAAGGCAAGCACCGGCGCGAAACCACCAAGAAGACTGTAAGATCGCTGTCGATTCCTTGGGCTCTTACATACTCTCCGAGTGCCCCTACTTCGCGAGTTTGGCATTGATATCGAGTGGGGATCGGCTGAATGGTAAATTCTTAATAGATCCTTAAGTATATCTCAAAATGATAAACTTCTTACTTAGCAATGTACATACATAAATTATCAATATCATACCCTTATTAGTCATACAGGAAAAACGAGTTCTGTAAATTTTCCTGATCCACGAATCTGACGACGATCTAATTTTCCACGAAATAATCTGATCTTTAATGTTTATGACATATTGAAAAATGTATATATTTCCTACACTATTTGTTAGAGGCAAATAAATAATGTCGTGCGTCACGAGTATAACTCTCTCCGTCCGCAGGAATCGTGCCGCGTTCAGACCTGAACTATTATCATTCGTTCTAAAACAAACTGTGCGTTGTTCTAGAGCTTAGAAAAATTTCGGGAAACCCTCGCAACTGCTGAACTAACTTTAGGGTGAAGAATGGGACACCTAATGGTCGTAAAGGGTCGCCCAACGTCTTTGTCGTAAATCAACGGGGCATCAGTCTTCTCGGGCCCGAAATCAATCCCTCCCTAAACCCACAGGAAAATCATAGAAAATCGTGATAAACAATTTATGACTCGTGATCAGCCAACAATTTCGTGCTCGAACTTGTTGTTTCAACATACGACCCAACGGTATAAATTATACATTCAGGGGAGAATGAAAAAAATAAGGCGCGGAACTTGCATTTAAATGAAAACTAGAATCTGATGCAATATCGATCCTCGATCTCATCAGATTGCTACTTCGGAATATTCGAGATTCTTCTGGAACAAATAAAGCTTGGAATTGTTTACACCGAAATTTACTTTCCAATAATTATTTTCAAATATAGTGGATACAATTTTTAATTAATNTAATAATTACTTTTCAATTCTGCTAATAAAAAGTCTATTTAGCTACCATCATGCTCTGCTTCCCTGGATTTAGATTAATCAAACGATTTGAATTTTCAGCCAGCTCAGTGATGCTGACTCTACCGCGTTGTCTAACGAACTTCGCAACAGCTTCTAATTCTTCCTGGGATATATAGATAAATTTCCCTCTATCGTCTATTACTCCTGTTAAACTTTCATTCGCCTGCAACTCTTTAATTCTGTCTATTACGCTAGCTGTTTTCAAACCGAAATGCACAGCTAAATCCTCGAGTACAACAATTTTGTTCTGTTTAATGTACATTACAAACTCCTCTAACAAATTCTCTTCCGTCCCTCTGTCCTCCTCATCGTAACCCTCCTCTTCTATACTAAATGCTGCTTTCATCTTCAAGTATTCCTCGTATTCCCTCCTTTCTTTTTCCTCCCTGGCTTTTCTTTCAATCTCCTCTTGCTTCAATTCCTCCTCCTTCTCTTTCTCGCTCTGTTTATCCCTTTCTTCCTGCAGAAGCTGTTCTCTTTTCTTACGTTCTTCTCTTTCCCTCTCTGCTACTTCTCTGTGTATCTTCTTTTCTGCCTTGGCTGCCAGTTTCGCTCTCTTCTTCGCACCCATCTTGAAATCAGGAATCGGTTTCTCATCTGCCTCGTCATTCGCTTCGTTTCCTGACTCATTATTATCTTCTTCGATTTGATGGCTAGTAGTTGCTTGCATACGACGTCTGGCATTTCTTTGGCCTGCTGCTCGCCTAACAGGTGCTCTACCCTGCCCGACTCTTTCAGCAACGTTTGTCTGTTTTTTCGATGCTATAACATATTCGAAAAAACAAACATATCATATGTTCCCTGAAATCTTTAGGAAACCTAAGTGATCGATTCAAATTCAAAAGCATATAGATTTGATATTTATAAAAATTATTGAAACATCTGTTTTATAACAGAGTTGAAGGTTAGGAATTGAATTCGATTGACGAAGGACAAATGCGTCTCAGCTAAGCGAATGAAATTACGAATAGGCGAAGACGTACCGGATCTTCGTCCTAGGAACACCGTACAAACGATAATCAGGACAATAATTAATGCAGCGAGAGCAACCAACAATGTGACGTCCATTTTTTGTTTCTTTTATTTACAATTTACAATCCTTTCGATTGTCGAGAAAGTAAATATCGATAATGCTCAGTGGCGCCACGAATCTATGTGAATACGTGAACCTCAAAGTTGTTTTCGAAGGTGACGTGTGCTGTATACGGTTATCCGTAAAACTTTGCCCGAAAATTAAGTTGAATTAAGTTCTAACTTCATACAAACAGCACCGTAGTGTATATAATCATGTTAAAATACGGAGGAATATTCCTCTTGCTCTTATGCGTGCTCGAATATGGTACGGGGCTCTATTTTCACATCGCTGAGACGGAACGAAAGTGTTTCATCGAGGAGATTCCAGACGAAACTACTGTATTAGGTAAATATCTGAATCCTCAGTGTTCACGTTTCCATTTTCGCTGAACTCATCTAATTTCTTTCGAACAGTTAATTACAAGGTTGAACTGTACGATCCGCGAACCGGCGGATTCGCACCGAGCACACCAGGCATGGGGATGCACGTGAAAGTTCAAGATCCAGATGATAAAATGATCTTGTCGAGAGTATACAGTTCGGAAGGAAGATTTTCCTTCACTTCGCATACACCTGGTGAACATATCATATGTCTATATTCTAACAGCAGTTCTTGGTTCAGTGGTACCCAATTGGTAAGACTTATAATAACACAGAATGCATAATTCTTAATAATTTTTCATCTGATTGAATTCATTTCATAGAGAGTACATCTGGACATTCAAGTCGGTGAACATGCTATAGATTATGCCAATACGGCACACAAGGAAAAGTTTTCAGAGTTGCAGCTGAGGATACGTCAGCTTCTTGATCAAGTTGAACAAATAACGAAGGAACAAAATTATCAAAGGGTACTTATTTTTCTATGAATTTCTCCTGATTCTAAAGACTACTGAATTAATTAAGTTGTGGTCATATATCAAAAGTGAATGCATACTGCAATGCCTAAATGATAAAACAAGAATCCGCAGTTTAATTATTATATCATTTATTTACAGTATCGAGAAGAACGTTTCAGGCAAACATCTGAAAGCACGCATCGCCGTGTTCTGTGGTGGTCACTGATTCAAACAGTGGTTTTATTAATCATGGGTGCGTGGCAAATGAGACACTTGAAGAGCTTCTTTGAAGCAAAGAAACTAGTATAATATAAAATGTCATTTTTTGTCATCTTTGTATGATATTCTCATTGTAATTTATTTATAATAAAACGAATGTCAAGAAATGATCATCCTGTTCATATATATATCAATTTAGTCAATATTGTCAAAGTAATAAATACTATGCAGATACCATTGATAGATGAAGTAGCTGTGACAGCAATTCAGTGCAAGACGAATAGCATGAATAGGTCACGAGCTGGTCATGAGTTTACCTCCCTTCCTCAAGTAAAAGTAAAACGGAGATCAATGGAATAGTACACTAAAATCACTCGTTTTGCATCTCTCTTGGACTGACTTCTGTCTTACAACTCGTATAGTCGAGTTAGGTTAGAAACACAAATAGTCAAGATGGCGCTAAGCAGCAAGCAAGATCGAGCAAGATTTTGATATAAACACGTGAATTCGTAAAATGTGAGTTGTCGTAGATCGTTGACAAGACTCGAAAATCCTTGATATTTTCATTAGTTCCGAATAACAGCATATAATATTAATTGGAAGAAAAGAGTAAAGTATAATGTTCTCTTTACGACAAATACTTCGATGTGGAGCACGATTGACTCTTGCGCGAGAACCTATAAACTTACATCAGATCCTAATGTTCCGAAAAGAAAGATCGGACTTCGAGAAGCTGTGCGTTCGAAGTCTCCTTCACACGAAGACGGATCCCTGCGAAACGCCGAAGGAGAATAAAAATGAAGATGCTGAGAAGAAAGTGCTGGGTAAAATGGAACAGAAGATGAAAATAATGTTCACCTGCAAAAAGTGCAATTATCGGAACGGAAAAATTATATCAAAACTAGCTTACGAGAAGGGAGTAGTTATCATTCGTTGCGACGGATGCAACAATAATCATTTGATAGCCGACAATCTCGGCTGGTTCCACGAATTGGGAAACAAGCCTAACATCGAGAAACTATTGGCGAAAAAGGGAGAAACCATCCGGAAGGTGCGCAATGATGTCGAGGGATACATCGAAATCGTCGCGAAAGCGGAATATGATTTGATACAACATAATAAAAATGTATTTAAACCTGTAGTCCAGGAGAAAGTCGAGACACATGTTCAATATGAAAAAGTCGGGTCTAAAGAAGAAACGTAAGGAGTATTGAAGAACTAAGGTGTACATATAAACGACTGTTTAGGCAAGTGTAAATATTTCTAAATTTATTGTAAACTATCTGTGCCATGTAAATCTAACATTAAAAATAATATCCAGAGCTTGGCCGATGTCAAAAGACTCTAAGCTATTTCCTTTACTCCTTCAAATTATGATGTTAAAGACAAACAATATTGTTTGTGTTCATTAGTTGCATTAATACTAATATATACACGTAATATCAACAAAACAGATCTTGGCACATATTGAGATTGTATGGCCTGCTTGAGAAAGTATTCAGTATTTATGTGAATATCAGTAGATATGTACATAGCACATTTTTTATAAAAAGTTTTAACAGTACAATATATGATCTATAATTAAATCTTTGATTAAAATTATAATACACATATATATATAAAATATATAGTACAAGAAACAGAAGGAATGACTTATGACTTATTCTTCCTTATCATCCATATACATATATCGATGAATCTCTGTTTAAAATATTAAATATCTCTGAAGGCACAACTTCTGTTGAACTTGTAACAATATTATAAAAGACTATTCACGATTATAATAATATAATAATTGTCAAATATCTCTAAGTACACCTGATATCGAAATAACATGCAAATTTATATACCGTAGTTAAAATCCTCGTTCACTTTATAAGGCACTAAAATTCTTTTCATTGCATCAGTCCGTTTGATATTTTCTTAATTTTAATATGAAGCCCTCGAGAACTATTACTAGTATCGATCAGGCATTAAAAAAAGTCATCGGAATATATAAGATCAATTTGTATCTAAGATAATTCTCTGCATAATTGACAGTGNGTCGAGACACATGTTCAATATGAAAAAGTCGGGTCTAAAGAAGAAACGTAAGGAGTATTGATGAAGAGCTAAGGTGTACATATAAACGACTGTTTAGGCAAGTGTAAATATTTCTAAATTTATTGTAAACTATCTGTGCCATGTAAATCTAACATTAAAAATAATATCCAGAGCTTGGCCGATGTCAAAAGACTCTAAGCTATTTCCTTTACTCCTTCAAATTATGATGTTAAAGACAAACAATATTGTTTGTGTTCATTAGTTGCATTAATACTAATATATACACGTAATATCAACAAAACAGATCTTGGCACATATTGAGATTGTATGGCCTGCTTGAGAAAGTATTCAGTATTTATGTGAATATCAGTAGATATGTACATAGCACATTTTTTATAAAAAGTTTTAACAGTACAATATATGATCTATAATTAAATCTTTGATTAAAATTATAATACACATATATATATAAAATATATAGTACAAGAAACAGAAGGAATGACTTATGACTTATTCTTCCTTATCATCCATATACATATATCGATGAATCTCTGTTTAAAATATTAAATATCTCTGAAGGCAGAACTTCTGTTGAACTTGTAACAATATTATAAAAGACTATTCACGATTATAATAATATAATAATTGTCAAATATCTCTAAGTACACCTGATATCGAAATAACATGCAAATTTATATACCGTAGTTAAAATCCTCGTTCACTTTATAAGGCACTAAAATTCTTTTCATTGCATCAGTCCGTTTGATATTTTCTTAATTTTAATATGAAGCCCTCGAGAACTATTACTAGTATCGATCAGGCATTAAAAAAAGTCATCGGAATATATAAGATCAATTTGTATCTAAGATAATTCTCTGCATAATTGACAGTGATTAAGAAGACTAGTATTCCTTAAACTAATCTTTCCGCTGGCGCGCTTTAATAATAAAATTATAAAATATGAGAACTTTTCATTAATCGGAATAATAAAAATGGACTTACTCTAGTCGTACCGCGGACTAGTATTATTTTCTTGTCGTTTTCGAGAATTAAGAATCTCTAAAGTCACAATTAATGTATTAATCACTATAAAACGAAATTACTTCGGATCTCTTTATACCCTTTTTGGCTTTGACACGATCGCATATTCGCTATTATTAAAGACCTTATGCTTTGGACCTACGCTGCTACTGGTGGATGCAATCTCGGAATGATTAATTTTCTTTCGGATAACACCATATCCAAGGTGACTGTCGTCCGCCAATCTAACGGCGGACATATCTTCCACGATATCATAATTGGACCACGCGCTATTGTTATCAGCCGCGGAAGTGTTCGAAGACACGTTGGAATGTGAATTCTGCGAGGCGCTGTTAACATTCAGGAATTTATACGCACCCTTTTGACTCATTTTGGTCGCGGAGCCGAAATGTTCTAACTTATCGTAATCGGGTTCATCGTTCGACTTGCAAGGCGTATGATTAGTCGACGAAGGTATCGGGCTATCAATAATACTGGGTTTACTTTTTAACGAGCTCTGAGGCGTAGCGAGCATTGTCTCGTAATTAAAATCGTCCTCGTTCTCTTTATCCTTGTCGCCCTGGATCAACGAGTTCGTCCTCTCCGTATGATGTATAGTATCGATGCCATGCGTTTTCCAAGCGTTGTTCCTTACTTCCACCAGATCATAAGGATGTCTCTCTTCGTCGTCGGGTATAGAGCTTCCTATCGTCTTCTGTGACATCTCAGGCGAATTCTCACGATTCAATGATTTGTATTCCAAATCCGAATGTTCAGAATCCCCACTTCTCTTATCTAACACGCCCGTGAAAACGTTCTTCCGCGGTGGTTTCGTCGGTTTCGGTTTAATCAGAGATAAAGAAGGTTTGGAAGACATGCTGCTATCTAAGTTCGACGAACTGCACGACTGCTTTTGAGAATTCTGCGGCGAAAAATCGATCTCGATTAAATTGCCCGAACTATTTGGAGAGGGAGGTAAAGCTGCTCGGGATCCAGCTTCCATGGACAAAGCAGCGTGGTATTGAGCATCGTTGCATTCGATACTAGGGCTACCCTCTTCGTTCATTAACTTCTTCATCGATCTCATTTTCGAATACATACAACGGAATATCTCCTGTTGACTGCTGTGTTCCAAGCGGAAAGAACCCTCTCCAGATTCACATTTTCTTCCAGCTTCGAAAATGAACTTTCCATCCTTGTAACCATACCTCCGTATGTATCGATACGGCCAGGTAAACAGCACCACGTCTCCATCCATTAACTTAATGTCTGCTGTAGCTACTACCAGTGTATAATTTCTACTTTCTAAGCCACATCGTTTCGATGCATCTGTCTCTACGACCTTAACAGAGAACACTCCTTCTCCACTGGTGCAGTACAGGTCATTATTTTCTTCTATTGTTTGATTAGACACACTATCTTTAAATGCTACTAACTGAAACGCAGTAATCCAATGACTCATATCAGATTCAGAGTAACATCCAAAGTAATGGATACCTGACTTAGTCACAACCTAGATTTCAAACAAATAACATAGAAGGGATAATTCCATGCTGATTATATGATCTCTTATCTTATTTCTACTTACGGTGAATACATGCGACTGGTTGCTAGGTGCAATTTTGATACACGCGTCCAACGTGATGATACGTGGGACATGCAGCTGCAACACAGCTTCCTCTTGGTTATCATAAATTTCCACGCGTTTGATACCGTAATTGCTCGTCCTGAACAGCTGACAGAACCTTTTGTGCCAAGATTTCTGTAACAAATACAAACGACACGATCGTCCTTCAGTAAAATTAATCTCATCAAAAGAAAAATGAAAAATGCGGATTTCCTGTATATCAAGATCGTTGCGTTCGAATGAATCAAGAATGACGTGTGCCCCATACGATTCAGCGTCTGAAATGTCTGGAACGTTACTCGCGCTTAGATTTTATAGGTTATTTGTCAGTAACGATCGTTAGTGACAAATAACGCAGTGCATCGTCATATTTGTTCGTTCGACTAATTAAAGCGTATCAAATTCTGAGAAACATTCGTTCGTCAACGACCGTGGAAACACGAAAAATGCGTTTGCCCGTGACAAGATTAACCAACCTTGAGTTGACCCAACATTCCCTGCGGTGGTAACAGCAGGATACCTTGCAGCAGAGGTTCCTCGGGCTCCATCGTATCCCGTGAAACATCAGCAACCGCTACGATCGTCCCTCCGCTCTTCTATACAAATTTCGAAAAGGTGGACTTTTCCACTTTCACTACTGCTTTTCCCCGTCCGCGGGATTCCTCTCACTGGTACGCGTTCGCCTTCGAACAGTGCTCTATCATTCACGAACAGTCTGACAGTTTTCCCGGACACACTACTCAACCCATCATAATGTACGGTGCTTGACATCTCACAAACGTTTCAAGCACTAGTCAATTTCCCACGGAAAAGAGAAAAAGTGTCACTGTATAAGTGAAGAAAAGAAAGAGACCTCCTCTTTATGGTTACATACTACATACGTGCTACACGTCGTGTACGACTGGCGAGGCGATACTGACACTCATCTGCGATCTACACAAGTGCAGCTGCACACATATAGATAATATTTCATATGAAGAATCGAATTGTGTTATGAATGCATAAATAAACCAAACTACGAACGTTCAAACCCCACGTGCTAATATTTTTCTTCTGCTAAAACTCTAGTCACTGTTAGAATAAACATGGGTAAGTAAACAAAGGTTAATCAACTATCCTCCATTTTTTTAAATATATTCGTATTTATTATTTATGTGCCTCGTTGCTGTAGATAAGAACGCTAAAGTATGCCATGGGAAAGACATTTTTGAGAGAATGAACTATTTGTACCAGGTAATAATGTTCTTTAATCATTTATATATTAGTTTAGATTTACATGAAAGAGCATTTTGCTGAGGAAGTATATATTTTCAGGCAA